CCTGCTGAATGTTTAGTCCTGTTTTTTTTTGCCAAAATGAGACATTCAGCTTTAAGATTTTCTTATTTCAGAGTGTAATCATCCATGCAATTGTTTTTTTTTTTTTTTTTATATAGAGAATGCGTTGATGCTATTACAATTATGTTTTAATGGCATTATTAGTGTTTTTCAATGTTGAATTTTTATTTTTTTTTTGTTTTGCTCAACTAAAGTTGTTGGTATTATTTGTCCCATATTGATTTATGCTGTTGCCAAGTTTTTCATTTTTAATTTTATTTTGTTAGTTGAAAATTTCGCATCAAATTTTGTGAGTTGAGGGCAGATAACATATGAGCTAATATTCTTTGGTAGATATTATTATTGGGCTCGTTAGATCATGTAAGTTATTCTTAGGCCGACCCGAGATTGCATGCCCAACTTTATAGTGTCATATATTCCTGCTTTCCCATTGCAAACACTGTTTATCAAAGAGAATAAAGTAGTTGATATAAGATGTGACGGAAGACAAATGGGGAGCATTATGGCTAGAAACGATGTGGAGAATTCAAAGATGCTGCTTTTGAGTGGCAATTAAAATCAATTATCTTAACTATGTCATCTTTAAGTATCTAGATGCATCGAATCACTCCATGGGGCGTTTGAATTGATTGAAGCCTTCTAAAACCGCTAAAAAATAGTTACTAACAGCCTTAATCCGTCTTAATTCGTCTCTGGCGCCAGCATATTGAAGTTTCGTGTTGTTCTCTGGATTTTGGTGTTGCTTTTATGTAAAATGACGTCTTTAGCGCCAGCTCTCTATATAATGGCGCCTTTGGCGCCAGGATGCTGAAAAACTCCATTTTGACACCAAACTTTTTTTCTTTTTTGCTCAAAATACTTAAAATCAGTATACCTGCAACAAAACATGAAAATATCATTCTTTAAAGTACAATAGCACCAAATTTAAGCATAAAATACATAAAATTGCACATTTTTTTGGTGTATCAAAATCTTTCAAAATTAAATGTTACTTGTTCACATATGACTCTTTTATTACATAAAAATATGATTTATGATAGATTAATTTATAGACTTCTATAATTTGGTTTAATAAATATAATATTATAATTTAAGAAAAACTTTTAATGACTTAGGTTAGAACTACAAGTATAAGAACACCTAGAAATCAAGTCTAAGATTTCTAAATTTTCATTATTTCAAGAATTGTAATTTGTTATATCAAAGATATTTAGAATGCCCATACGAAAAATAATTTCATGAAAACTTTATTAGCAAGGATGCTAATATTCAAATTTAAGTTTTGAAAATGTAATAAAGCTTTTTTCCTCAAGTTGATTCAAGTGAAGTTATTTTTTTATTAGATATCTCTTCAAGTTCTCCACAAATATTTTCTTTTCTTTTCCTTTTTCTTCTTTTCTTTTTCTTTTCCTTTTTATTTATTTTTCTTTTTTTTATGATCATTTTCAATCATTTCTTTTCTTTTCTTTTTCAAGTGAGGATTACTATATCTAGATAATCTTTAAAAATATTGAAGTTCACTATCCTTCTCTTAAAGTTAAAACTTCTTACATTTTTTCATCTTCCATCACCTTATAAATTCATATTAGCTTTGAAGATTTTTCATAAAGTTTCATTCTTTTCTTCTTATATAAAACTCTAAAATTTTTAATATTTCAAAAATATAATTTCCCTTACTTTAAATAGAAAAAATATTGTCTTATCCTTTCATACTAAATATCTTAACTCTAGAATTGACCTTCATTTTTTTTTTTGCTTAAAATTATCATAATATTTACAAACAAAAATATAGTTATTTAAAGTTAAACTCTAATATCCAAGGTCATATTAAATTAATTTTAAAAATATAGTTAATTGAAGATAAATAAAATTTAGTTAACTTTTTTTAAAGAAAATTTTATTTCTCCTAAACTTAGATTTTTAAATAATAAGTAAAACATGTCGTACAAAAATTTGTTGGTGAAAGAAAACAATGAATGCATAAAAATAAAACTAACCTGGGGAGGGTTAAGAATATGAAACTTGGCTCTGACATTTTCACAATCAAAACACATATATTGTTCCAATTATACCAACAACAAATGAATACAAATAAAAAACCAGTAAATCTTCATTCACCTCCTCCTCATTATCATCATCTTCTTCTACTTATTCAAAGTTTTCTTGATGTCGGCACTATTTTGTGTTGGTGGAGTTGCCCGTAAGAAACTGTCGATCACCAGAATTGAAATCCCGTCGCCCGCTTCGGAAGGACGTTTTAATTTACATATATATTTAGTTTTAGAAAAATATGAAATCAAACTGACCCTATATTTTTCATAGTTTAAATGAAAGAGCATTGTACCTCAAATCCTGTATATATCCCGAAGGACAAACACAAGATTTGAGGATGAGGCTCGATCAAATAAACTATGGAATATATGACATCCGTTTGGTCTGCGAAACCTTTATATTTGCCGCTCTATTTAATATAAAGAATTAAATAGGATTTATATTAAGCTGGGTTCGGACATGCTTCCTATAAGAGAAAACCCTATAGTTAATTACATCTTAAATGACCAAAGTCACCTAAGAAGACTCTCGATAAAAATTAGGAAATATTATCTTTAATGAATTTTAAAGGATATGACTCTTCAATGAGATCGATCGTAGAGGTGTGAAAGGGGAGAAAGGGGATTGATTCAAATTTTATTATAGAATCCAAATGAGGAAGAACTAGGGAATGTCATGGATCCAGAGGATAACCTCAGTGACTTCCCAAGCTATCCTAATGTTTGGCTTCAGTTTTGAGGAGAAAAAATTTAAGTGTTTCATCCTGCCAATTTTATTAGTTAGGGCCTACATCCGTGTGAAACGATCACACAAATAGCTTAGAAGATGTGAGGATTTTGGTCGTAACATACGACAACCTCGGAATACTAAGACGAGTTTGGGCTTATATTGTATAGCAAGGCTATACAAACGCCTAAAGATAAGGTGAGGATTTACGTTGCATAAGCAAGCAACCTCGAAGACCTCGAAGTCCTATGAATGGCTTTGTTATTTATATCTAGGGAAGGAATATTGGTTTAGCTAGGAAAGACAGGTTTTGCTATTGAAGATGGTCATGCTTCTCACCATGCTAACTCCAAGCTCCTTGCTGTGACGAGTTTAAGTTTTCTAGTGTGTCAATTTATGATGTCAAATCAGGTGGCCTTATGGTTGAAGTTCTTTAAACTCCTCCGAGGGATTCCCGATTATCCGATAGAGACGTCTTAATTTAGTTGCAATTGTAGTTTTGTGTGATGTTTGTGATTAATTTTTGAGTTGTTTTATATTTTGAATGTTGTGGGATGAATTTTATCTTGGTTATTTTTAATTTTGGTTTTGGTTTTGGCTTTGTGGCTATCATGATAGTTTTAGTTTTCATGCAGGGTGACATCGTTGTTTAGCATGCAAATTTGCAGGTATAAAAGTACAATATGAAAGTTTAAGAAATACAACGCTGAAAACTGTAAAAGCGTACCTGACGAGTCATCTTGTTCCACCACCTGAAACTCAAAAGGCATGTTAAGGCAGTTTATATGAAACAGGGAAGTAAAATTTTTGGTAGTTTTCCTAACCCTATGTCATATCTTGGTGGGTCCTTAGGAGTTTAATTAAGGATGACTTTGTTAAGCAAAACATATTAAGTTGACTAGATCTCCGAGGTATCCAACAGATCTAGAGAAAGAAGCAGGCCCGTGCTACTTTCTTGCTGTCTGGTGGAAAATACCAAGTTCTTTTAAACTTATTATGTTGCTTAATAATTCATCCTATACAACACTCTAATGCTCAGTGAATATTGATGTCTCAATTATCCTTAAGAATAGGTTAATCCTCACTTGTGATTCAATTTAAGAATTACGTGGGTGAAGACTCTTAAAGAGGCAAGTTAGTGTTGTTGGAACTGTTGGAACACTTATAATTGGGCTTGTAGTGTTTGAAAGATGTTTTGATTTTTAATGATATTGATATTTACTTTTCTAATCCTCATTTAAATGAAACTTGATTTAGCCTAAGTCACTACAAAGCCCTTAAGACCTAGGTGAGTGTCTTAATTAGTTTTGAAAGGTTAAGCTTTAGGTGGTCATAATTCATGACTTGAGCTTTGTTTGAACATCAAAATAGGGGTATTAAATTGATTAATTATTCACTTCAAAAGTCATACCCCTAAGTCCTAGATTCATTTTATTTTAATAAACTAAATTTTAATAATTTAGAAATTTATTGACTTATCTTTTTCAATTAAGAAGGTGATATTGGTTTCTACTAATTAACCCCCTTATGTTTCAAACATCAAATAAATTGATTAAAATCAGAGGTTACCCATTTCCCTCCTTAAATTAAGGCTAATTTTCCAAATTTACACATTTACCCCTAAGGATCTATCACTTCATAATTTGTCAAATTCAATTCAAATGAATTTGGAATTTTTATCCTACCTCATTCATGGATAAATTAAGACACATCAGAGGAGAAAATATTATTTTTCAAAATTTAATTTAATTAATTTATTTATATAATTATTTTCATGCAAAAAGAGGATTTTTCAAAGAAAAACCCTAACTTGACCAAGGTAAATCCTAATCACTTGAAATTTTTATTGGAGGTAATTTTAAACCAGAGAAACATTTGGACCAAATTTCATGATTTTTAAAATTTTATTTGAATTTTAACATATAATCTGGGGTATTTATTAAATATAAACGTTCTGGGGTATTTATTAAATATAAAATATTTTAAATAGAGAAAATTAAGTTTTGTATTTTTGAAAGGTCTCCCTGAGGTCAGAGAACTCAAAGGAGAAGATTTTATATTTTTCTGAATTTTATTTGATTTATTGGAATTATTTTAATGGAAATCCATTTTTTAGCCTTTAAAATTTATTTTAAGCT